GCCATTAAAAACATGTTTACCATTAAGAATACGTAATTAGAACGGATTAAACCAAAGCATAATTGTGTTCAGAGCATACAACTACTCAAGAATAATAGGAAAGAATTATTATGAAAAGGTATGAACAAAGAAATGATACCTATACTAAGAGGACTCGAGATTACTTATGTTGTAGACTCCTAATGTCGGGATCATGTGCCTCGATCCTAACTCTTGAGGGGGTGTAAAAACATAAAAGGTGAGGGGACCAAAGTTTATAAAAATAATACTAGTAATAGGAAAACCATTTTCCTTATGAACATACTATCCCCCTGTTTTGAAAACATATATTATACTACATATAGGTTTTATAAAACCCTAGCATGCCACGCAAAACCTTCGTAAAACATGTATGTGTAAAACCATGCTTAATAATGCTGAAAACATTGCCCGAAGGTAAATCCGTAAATCTCATCAATGCAGTACTCAACTAGGGGTATCATAGTCGCCTGAAGGCAGTACATGTCCATCACCCAAAGGTGAAGCTATATAACCTGTCCATCACCTGAAGGTGAAGCTGAATAACCTGTCCATCACCCGTAGGTGAAGCTAAATCAAATAGCATAACATCCACATCGACACTAGCCGTGGTTAGTGAAGCTGTCTGACACTGCTTTCGGCGATGAAGCTGGGGGTATATAATATATCATATCTCACTCCTCCATCATTTGTGTCCTATGGCCGTAGACATCTATACCCGTGATGTGCAGATGTGCCGTATGATAACCCACTAGATAAGTACTAAAAACGTCTCAAAAACTCATATTAAATCTCGGAATTCAAATGCTCAAAGCATCATCTCATAAAATCATCTCATAAAATCATATAACTTTCTAGTTCAAACCATCATCATAACCATAATAAATCCATATCCGTAAATCCACTATTTCATAAATCATAAAAAGCCATGATTCGTTTCGTAAACTTTAGTAATATGTAAATTCGATAAATCAATATATTTCATCAACCGTAAATATATAAATTCGGAAAGCAATATATAAAACATACTTAAATCATGAAATGTGAAATGCATGCTAGGCTAATATTTTATAAAAATGTATAAGTTATGAAGGGGTCCACTCACATATTTTATTGCCTGAGAACCGCTTGAACTAGAGAGGATGAAGTCGCTCCCCGCCAACGCGCCTAAACACAATTATGGACCTTTTAGTAAAACTCTACTAAAACATTAGAATTTGAGAAAACGGATGGCGGATTCGAATTCGGCATGTTGAGGAACCTAAGGAGGGACCTTGGGTTCTTCCCTCATATGCCGCTGTGTGGTGGCCGGCTGCTCCGACTCGCTGGAAAATCAAACAACTCCAAAAATTCCCAAATTTTATAGGAATGAAGATCTCAATGAGAGGAACAACTTTCATACCTGTTACTAAGGCCAATTTAGCCAGGAAAAACCCCAATTTCACTCAAACCCGTCGAAAACCCTAAAAATGGTGGCCTTTGATTCGACTTCTTTGGTGCTCTGCCGCACCAACCAAGGCTTGGAACTTGTTCCTGAGGTTAGGGGAAGTATATTAGTGGTGGGAATCAAAGAAAATCTTTGCAGGAACGTCGGATTCGCCGCAATGCACCTATGAACCCGTACGGTGCATTTCTACCCACACCTGAGGCTAATTTGCATATATTTTTGGGTGTAAATGGACGAGGGGAGATCGTGAAATGTTTTCTAGGTGGTGGATCAACTTAATTTGTCAGAAAATCGATGAAATTTCACCGGAATTGTGCATTAGAATCGGGTCAAGTCGCAAGGAAAAGCAGGGTCAAGGGTGATTCGGTACTTCTCCTCTCTCTTCCTTCCCTCCTCTCTCTCCCTTCCCATTGGTTCCCTTTTCACCTCCTCCTTTTGATTAGTCTGGTTCCTCCTTTTCTCTCATTTTTTTTTCATCTCAGCCACACACGTGGCACTTCCTGACTGCTTCAGATTGTGCTGGAGCCTGAAGGTTAAATTTACTAAAATACCCCAAACTTTAAATGTTAATAACTCCTTCGTTATAGCTCCAAATTACGTTTCGTTTGTGCCCACACATTCGTGACGACGAGTACTATGATAATACGCCAAGAAAATGGATCTTACGTGACATGACAAGGTGGTCAACAAAGTGAACGCATTTGCCTCAAAGGGCATTTTCGTAATTTCATATTTTAAAATTATAAAATTGTAATAATTGGGGACGGGTCGTTACACCAGCCATCTAGCGCAAAAACGGTGGCCAGCCGCCTAGCACTTAGGTTGCGCTATGTGAATGTAAGAGTAGCATTTTTTATCTTCTAATAGGTTTTGGTTGGGGGTTTGATGTCAATTTTAACTGTTATAGAGGGCGTCTATGTGCCCTAAAGTTTCATACATAAGCAAAGATAGGGAGAAACGGAGTTTTGCGAACTCTCTCTGGAACTAGAAGACCAGTTCGAGATCTTCGAGTATATTCGACGGTTCAATGTGTCTATTGTCACTTCGCCCAAACATGATATCATCATGACCTCTCTTTTCGTATTGCTAGGGATGCTTAACGTCACTTTGCCAACTGGCATTACCTGCGCTTTTATATCATGCTAGCGTATTTAATGATTTCTTGTGATGAATATATTCTAGCTACCTTTCTCCGGCTAACGCGTGCCCTAAAGTTTCATAACATAAGCAGATATAGGGAGACGCGTAAGATCATGATTGTTTGCATACATGCTCCAGCACCATATTTTGTTTTGTCTTCTCCCCGAGAAGATTAAACTGGTGGACTAGCTAACTAATCCCTTGAAGAAAACAAAAATAAAAAGTTAAATTAGTGTTTGTTAATTGTTTCTTTAGCTGACAAGAATCGGCAGGCCGGATGTTGACTATGGTGAGCGAGGAGGATTTTGCTGATGTTCCCAAATTTCTTTGAATTGACGTGTTGGAAAAAAGTCTGTAATATTTCGTTTCTTGTGGGTTAAGGTTATGTGTGTGCACGTAGATGATAATGTTATCTTTCTGACTTATTGGCCCTAAAGACTAAACAAAAATATTAGTAACTATCAATATCGGGGACACATAAACGGTAGTTCAAAGAGGGGGATGATGACGAAAAGGATTTTGTCGACATTTTGCTTTCAATTCCGAAAGAACACTTGGCTGGCCGTTTTCCTATTGAAACAGTCACCTATAAAAGCTCTCATCTTGGTAAACTCTCTCTCTCTCTCTCTCTCTCTCTCTCTCTCTCTCTCTCTCTCTCTCTCTCTCTCTCTCATCTTGTATGTTAGAGGTTAATATCTTAACCAAAACATTTCGTTCTTGTAGGATATGTTTGCTGCTGGCAGTGATACAACATCTACATTCCTAGAGTGGGCAATGACTGACCTTTTGAGGCATCCAAGGGTCATGAAGAAATTGCATAAAGAAGTAAGGGGAATAGTTGGGAACAAAACAGGCGTACTCAAGCACTTTTTGAAGGCGATGATGGAGACCTTTCGCTTACATCTACCAGTTCCATAACTAGTGCCCAGGGTACGACCCCAGAAGTGGAAATAAGTGGTTATTATAACCAGTATATACAAAAATACTGATTGAAATTGAATCAACTTGGTACTAGGGTTACAATAAGCTTAAAGATAACACAAGCATGTATGTTATAATTACATGAATTGATACAAGAACTCCTACTTGAATGAGACGCCATTGAAGAAGACATAAGGCAGTCTTCTACTCCCAGTACACGATAGTCCCTTTTCTGTGTGAATAGGTCTCAATCACTCTTATGGTTTTTTACGTATGACAGCAGGAACTATAACATCATATATATAGTTAGGGCTTTTACTGCCTATTAATAGTTGTGTATCCCCATCATCTTAATTATGATTGAGTCATCATGATTCAATATCTTTGCATTGAATCCCATAAAGGGTTCCTATAATTAATTTAGTTGCATGGAGTTAAGACTCCATAATCCTCACGATATCGAGATTTACTAGATCACTTGTATCACAAACAATCCATAAAACAAGTTAATTGTAATCCAAGTAATCTTTATTATCACTCATCATCCTTCATTAGAACTTTACAGTTATGACATTACTTTAGTCTAAAAGAAAGGTTTGGAATTGGCACTGTAGAAATAAACAGTGTTTCAACCTGAGTTTCAGATTAATTGCAACCATGCAATTGATCTGTCTGTTGGTTTTGGGTCAGCGTCCCGGCCCTCAGCCAGGCCCAAATGTGTTGGTTTTGGCTGGGAAGCCCGGCCTTTAGCGAGGCCCAATTTATTTAATTACATTTTTGTCCATCGTAGATTACGATCCGATGGTGGGGATGGTCTATTAAGAAGGGTAATTTTGTCCTCTCAATTTTGGGCGAGATAGGGGGTCACCGGGCAGGTATCATTTGTTGTCGTTTCGGGGAGGGTCTGCGAGAGAGAGAGAGAGAGAGAAAGATGGCGATGGAAGGAGAGCGAGGGGGAGGGGTAGGGGTCTCGGCGCTGTTTCTGCAGATGGGAGGGTCGGTATGGTCAGAGAAGACCATATGGGTCGTTGGGATTTCAAGGAGACGGGGTAGGGGTCATCAACAAACCCTACTGAGAGTAGGGTGTGCCGGATCTTGCGTTGCACACCTCCAATCCAAAGATGAGTTTCTTTTTTAAATTGTATTCTTTAATGGTGCCTTAGATTTTCTAATTGTTTAGTATGTTAGGTCCGGTTTTGGGGGATTTCTGATTTTATAGAGAGAGATGGATAGGGAGATAGAGATAGACAGAGAGATGTATGATTTGGTTATCTTTTATTTTTTTATTTAAATTTATCCATATATAATGTGGGTATAATATAACAAAGAATTGTGATAAGCCAGTATGCCATACGACTTTGAAAGCATTGATTTTGCTTCTCATTCCTTTGTTGATTGTTTTTTATCCCATTTCTTGGTTCCTTATGTATTCCTTGGTTCTCTCTAATTTTGCTTCTCATTCCTTTGTTGATTGATTTTTATCCCATTTCTTGGTTCCTTATGTATTCCTTGGTTCTCTCTAATTTTTGGCTGTGGGATGATGCTTGCAGGTGAACTATATGCACGGTTTTTTGGGACGAGTTAGGAAGATCCACCTGAAAACAGCATACAAGATAGAGAACTGGTATGCTGCTTTGTCTTTCTGTTGGATTTTGATGTTTATGTTCTGCTACTAAGAGGATTTTATAGTGTTCTAAATCTGTTTTGTAAATGTGCTTAAAGATTGGACATGTTCTTGAATATTAGCCATGTTGTTTGAATTGGATATGTGATTGAATATTAGGTATTTAGTTTGAATTGATTTGGATATGTGGTTTATTGAACTGGAATTTGGATATGTGCTGATATGAATTGGATATGTTGAATTAGAGATGTGCTACTTTGAATTGGATAGGTTGAAAAATGACAAGCCATTGTATATTGACTGTTTTTTTTTTTTTTTTTTTTTGCCCCAAATTTACGTAAGTCCCAAAGGTTGAATGTCGTTGCAATTTGGATGATCAGCCAAAACTTTAGAAGAAAATAATTAGAAAACATGACTCGGGAGAGAAATAACAAGTCCATCATGTATTAGAAAATCATTTTTGCCCAGTGATCGAAATCATTACAGGATTAAAAACTAGAATCCGACTTTGGAAGAACTTCCATTTTCTTCTAATAGCAGCTTCATACATTTAGTCTAATGTTTTTTTTGTACATTTTTAACAACCAAATCTAAAATCCCTCTGTACTTTAAACTTCCTCCTCCAGACATCACATTAGAGAATTATAACTATTCAACATTCTTGGTGCATTGGCAGATTACTGATTGTAGCATGGAATTTTAGCAAAGTTCCTTGAATTATTGAAGCCTTAATGCTTTCCAAATGTTTTACTTTGATTCATTGTCTCCATTTTCCATGGTACAAGTTTACATGATTGCAAGCCGATGGAAAGAGATAGATGTAGGGAGAAGCTGGAATTGGGGAGAGAGACAGTGAGCAACGGGTGCAGTTGCTTTTTAAAGATTTGTTTGAAATTGTTTCTCCAGTTTTTTTATTTTATTTTTTCCTTTTTCTTTTTCTCGAGTTCTTTCTATTTGTTTGGAATTGTTTCATTTTTACTGAGATTCTTTTGGTCCCTGCCACTAAACTCTGATTTCTGCTGAAATGTGACTTTTGCTATTAATTTTGTAAACTAATTAAGATGCTTAATGTTCCCTTAATTGTGATTAAGACAGGGCATATGAGATATTTTTCGTGTCAAAATTCATGTTGGTAGTGTTGATTTTCCTATTTCAGCAAAAGATTTTTATAATAGTGCATACAACATCCAATTTCCCTAATTTTATCACTTATTATTATATTTTTCTTCCCTTCATACTGTCATGACACTTTGTTGGCTGTGAGCATGCACATATTGTGTATGACATATGCAAGTATAAGAGTGAGACAGGAGAGTGTCATGTAAAAAGATGGATGAGTTTGTTCTATATTGAGGGCAGGTGAATAAAAGAACATGCTTCTGGGATGATCCATATAAAGACATGGGGAATACGCTGGCTTGCTGGCTCATGTAATAAGGCAGCCAGAAACGCATGAAATAAAGGGTCAGAAAAGGTTGATATATTTGATGTTCCACAATATAATTTGTAGGACTGTTGTATAAGATTCTACCGAGTCTGTTCCTTTGGAACTACATGCAAAAGAAAAACCATTAATGTCTTAGTTCCTATCGGTTACTCTCCCTCCACTCCCCCAAGTAAGTTAGGGCATCTTCCAAGGTCTTTAGTTGTTTGATAGAAAATTGCTTTGATTCATCGTTTCTTATCGGATGGTTTGATCGTTTGGTTGTGAGTTTGTTCTGTAAATTTTTTTTTCTCTGCTATTAATAGCTTAGCACATGTGGTAGCAGAGTGATTGTGTTGGTAGCTTATGTATTCAACTGAATTCAAATGACACAATGAGTTTGATATTCAAACAAATGTCTGTTGGTTCAGTTTTTCAGTCTTTAAAAACTGTCATACCAATTTGAATATGTAAGTTTATGTTTATTCTTAGGTGAATTGTTGTCTTTTTTTGCTGATAAAAAGTTTACAGTTTGGCTGTGTAAATGTGTATGGTTTTATACGTTTCGCTCGCTTGACAATTTGATAATGGCTGAAGTGCATTCTTTAATGAAATAAGTTTTCCTTCCTCGATCGTGAATGTCTTTTTGGTATTTTGCAGATCAAAACAAAGTGAAAGCTTTTGACTGTGAATTTTGCAACTGCTGCCTTGCTGCTTTGGTAAAGTCTCAACTTCTTGATAATATCAATTAATTTGGCCTGTGATGTTAGGGTCTTGAGTTGAATGCATATGCTACATGGCATAGGTCTAACATGATTAGAACTTTAATATCATGATGTGTGATGCTAATTAAGCACAATATGAGTATCTGTACCAAGAAAAACACGAGGAAAGCTCGCTTCTCTGTCTCAGCTGCTTCTCTTCTTCTCCCAATTCCTCCGAAAGCCCCCCTTCATTTTCATTTCTCTGGTTCTTCTCCCCCAACTCCAAAAACCCTAAACCCCAAATCATGGATTCAAAGCTCTTCGCCAGAACCCTAATCCGAAATGCGATGGTGAGCAGGTCCTGCTACACGAGCAGGACCAAGTAGCTGACCCTCTACAACAAAATCAGCCTGCTCGGAAACCCTAGCTTGAATGTGGTTCCAGAGATCGACGACTGCGTCTACAATGGCAACAAAGTCCGAGTCACAGAGCTTCTGCGCACCATTCACGACCTCCGAAAGCGGAAACGCTTCTTCCAAGCCCTCCAGGTTTCCATCTTTCTTTCTTACCTTGCAATTTGTGTTATCCCCTGTTTGGTTGCTCAGAAAATGAAAGAAAATGAAAGAAGCATCAAAGTAATTAAATTTTAGACTAGTTAAAGAAAGTGAGTGAAAGAGGGAATTAGGATTTTTGTTAGTTAATGTGTTCGTTTGTATCATAAGTAATTGGAAATTTGTCTGCTTTCATAATAATGTGTTATGGGTTGCAGATTTCAGAGTGGATGAATCAGAAGGGGATATGCATATTTTTGCCGGTTGAGCATGCCGTGCAGCTGGATTTGATTAGGAAGGAAGAATTTTGCACAAATTGTTGTGAAATAAAGCCAGTTTGAGTCTGTGGGTCAAATCATATTGGACATTGTTGCATCATGAAGCATGTGGTTGCTGGGAAGTTTAAGCTGGGGAGGAAGATTGGGAGTGGGTCTTTCGGAGAACTCTATTTAGGTATGGTAATTAGTGCTTGATATCCTTTTTTTCCTTAGAAAATTATTCATTGTGTTAATTTAATGTGTTTTGTAATGAAATTGCTCTTCTGGTGTTAGGTGTAAATGTACACAGTGGGGAGGAGGTGGCTGTTAAGCTGGTATGTGATCGATCCTCAAATCGTAGTGTTCATTTATAACAAATTCACCATTTGAATTGGGTTGGTTTGTGGGTGTGGATTTTCAAGCTAAAAGATTTATGTGGACCATCTTTTTTTTCTTTGGAAAAGTAAAATTTGAATGTCGTCATTGAATTGTATTACTCATCAAGTTTCAGGGCATTTTGCGTTTGAAGGATTCAAAACTGCTGTAAGCTAAATGGGTGTGAAACAAGATGGTGGCACTATTGACACTGTGCCTGCAATGGAACAGGTACGCCTGAAAATCAACTGATTATATTTTATTACGGAAATCAACTAGTTTATATTTTTTGTAGCAGTCCCACAAGATCTGCTTGCAGTCATGATTATACTCAATCTCATTGAAAATATGTTTTTTAGATGTTTTGTTAGGTGGAGATTTTCGAGTTTTGATAGTTTGGTATTTTAGTTATGATAGCACTGGATTAAGCTCTAACCTTTTGTACATTACACTATTTAACTCACCAACGTGAGAGCTGAACTTTAGGCTCTTATGTGCACATAATTTTCTTAAAAAGGGAATGAGAAAATAAAATGGCAGTACCTTAATTTGCAGGAGAAGATTTCTGATGAGTTAGATAAGAGAGTGAAGAAGTTTCTTAGAGGAGCAGAAGCAAATTTGGAGGTTTGGCCTAGAAACTTACACATTGTTATTTGTCACTGCATCTTGGATTTTGTGTTTTCAGGGCTTGAAAGATAAGAAATTGAAGGGCCAACTTGCTGTTAGAGAAGAATTGTATGGAAAATCTGCACAAGCTGCTGCCAAGGCTGAGAAGGTGATTTTTTTTCCTTAATGTGATATGTTGGTCTGTTCAAACTTTAACGGAAGGGAAAAGAATCTTACATAGAGTCATGCTTAAGCAGTAGACTGGATTTTGTACTCTCTCTTTTTCAGTCGTGTACTGTTGTAGTACATGTTTCTCTGATTTACTGGATTTAGTTTATAGAAGTGATATTCTACATGAAATCTTACTTCTCCTGTTCTTTTAGTCCATGTAATACTGATAACAATTGAAAAGTTGATGTTTTTAGTCATTTGTCTTAATTAATCAATGAATTAGGTTTTTACCTTACATAAAATTTTTAATTATAATTTTTGTGCCCTGATTTCATATTAGGCGCCTTATCTTCATATGAAAACCACCATTTTCAATTTTTTGGTAATGTTAGCAGGTGCTTCTCAAATTCTCTCTCTCTCTCTCTCTCTCTCTCTCATTTACCATCTTATGATTCATAGCGATTGCGGATTATAGCAGCACTTTGTTTTGATTTGTAAACAAACTGTATAATTTTATCTTTGTCTTGGGTTACAGTATAACGTTTAACGATTGAATTTGTAAGATGGTTTAGCAATTTTTTCAGAAACTTACTATTCCTGCCAGAGGCCCAAGTATTATGTCTTCGGCTTTTCTACTTCACCTTTCTGTGTTTTTCCTCCATGTAGTAGACTTATTACTTGAAACTATGATATTGATGACACATTACGATCTACAAATGGATGTTTCTAATAGCATGCATAGCCATATATAGCAAGCAAAATTTGACTTCATTGGATCTTAGGTATTATGTCATTTTAGTTGCTTTGTGCAGAAACTCATCATCTGTATTCTATGTGCTTCCGTTTTGTGCAGACGATTAAAGCTGCCATGCTTGGTGAGATAATGGATTACTTGAAGTTAAGGCTCCAAGTAAAGGTAGACTTGTTTCAACTATAATGCATGTTTTCTTTTTCACATGAATGATAGAATTCCTAATTACTCAATCCTCTCATCTATGTCTAGTGTATTACATTCAATTATTTGCTGAAACTTTTCTGTTCTTAATATGGTCATTAATTTTAAACAATTTTTATTCCATACAAGCTTACTTTCCTTTGATATTAACATTTTCTGATAAAATGGTAGAAATCCACTTGCGTTTGACAAATAATTGTCATCATTATAGCAGTACAATGCACATCCACATAATTGAGCATAGTAAAGGAAAAATTGAATACTTCTTATAGACATTTTTTTTCAGTACTCCCAGACCTTCTTGCATTGTACAAAAGGTTCGGAATTTCTTTTTAAATGTGTCAATACATTATTATTATTTTTTCTTTTGTGCTTTGGCAATGTGACTTATCTTGCCAAAAGATGTATGTGGGTTTTGAGGGTTCAGGGATCCCCTTTTCTCAAGATTACTGGATTGGTCCTTACCTCCATGTGTTGTTGAGTCCAGTGAGAGCTGGTATGCATAAGAACTTTAAGTAATCATTGCCATAAAAAGTAGAAGTGATGACTCACACCAGGAATTAGTTATCTCATCAGCAGTTTTATTTTTATCCAAGATCGAATTTGATACCTGTGGGTGTATATAGGTTAAATCGATTGTTAAGATGGCAATTTATTCACTTTTCAACGTCCAATATCTCCATCTCCCTGTTCTGGATTTTTACTTACTTGAAATGAATAGATTCTAGGCTTTTCGTTTAGCAAAATGAGCAGTGGATAGTGCTAACTCATTTTTTTTACATTCACAACAATATGGGCACTTTTCTTGGCAATATAGTGCTTAGCTTAAAATTAGAATGTGATTCAGTTGTATTGAATTTGTTCGATTAACCATTGGTCCATTTATAGTTCATTGAATCTTTTGAATTAGTAAGCTACTGTATTGCGTCCTTTAGATTTCTTAGTATGGTATTGATATGGAAAACATCATCTATCTGTTCTATTTATCGCATGATATAAGAATCAAAGTAGACGTAGCTTCCCTTTGGTGGCCTTTTTTGTGTTAGCAGATGCCATCAGATAGGCAAAAATGTATCGGCTACAAAGTGCAATGAATGCTACAGAAGTTTTGCCATATGCCTTCATTTTGGCATTGCCCTTTCTGTGACAAGTAAGCATTATAATTTCACTTTTTGAAATGATATTAAGTTGACTTATGGAATAATATAGGGTTGTGTCATGCATGAAAACTATGAATCCATTTCATCATGCATTTTTTAGTTGCAAGTTTGCTTCACAAACCTCTACGGTTAGCTTCCGTACAGTATGTTGCAAGTTTGAGGATATCTCTACATCTTAATTTTTGCTCTCTCTAGTTGCTTCAAGTTTGTAATTTTACATGCTAAATTGCCACTTGATTTGATTATAAAAATGTAAAACAAAATCCGTCCATGATTTACAAATTTGTATTCGATTTTTTATGTTTGTAAGGTATATGTTGCACAAGCATGTAAATGGTACAAATTATTTGGTTTTGGGCAGTAAGCTTTGAGTTTTACAATCCTTGCAAGGGGATTGTGACTCAGGTGAACACATTTACTGTAGAAGAAGTTATGCATGCATTCTTTTGGCAATCCTTTCCTAGAACTTGTATTGATCCTGATATGAGTCCAACTCTGCCAGCAGAAGCGCGACGTTCATGAACTATTTTCTTTCAATTGCTCCTTGAACACGAGGGCGTACTAGCATAAATTTTTTGGCACAAGGTAGCATAAACTGCTTATCTTATCGACCTCTTTCACTCATGTATCCCTCTGTTTGTTCATAATTGTGTTGAATTCATTCAACTTAAATGTGTTTCATTCATCTGATTACGCCTAAAACAAATCGTTCCGCAGCAACGCGCAGGTGTAATTTCTAGTTAAAGCTAAGACACAAGTTTTGATCAATGTATGGCACATTGGAAGAGATCCCAAGTGTTTTAAATTTCTTGCTCTACAATATTAATTAGGTTTAATTTTCTTCTAAACCTAATTATATACGTAGAAGGTTTAATTTTTATATAAAATACCAACCGTTGCTATTCCATTTCTATAATAATTAGGTTTAATTGTTCTTCACCCGGCAAAAAAGGGTTTAATTTTCTTCTTTAAAACTAGGGAACTTTAACGAAAAACTTATGATACTGTTCATTTTAACGAAAAATCACATTTTCAAACTAAAAAGTCAATTCTGGTACTATTCATTTTATCTTTTATTTTGTCATTATCGTTAAAATTCAAAGTTTTCAAGCTATTTTCATTAGTTTTCTTTTAAAGCTATGATCCTTGTTTTTGCAAACTTTTATTTAATTTTTCCTTCTCAAAAAAGCTTGATTATATCAGGGAAATTTATTGATATCGGAAAAATGGTATACTTATTAGATAGAGGGATATAAACCTAACCTCTTGTAATACAAGAAAAAACACATAAATTAAAATACATGAAAAAAATGGGGGATATAAACCTTACTCCTCTAGAAACAAAAACAATAAAGATACAAGGAAAATTGGGGGGCATGAAACCTAACCTCTCTAAAGCAGAACAAGCAACATCACTAGGTTAAGAAAAAAAAAGAAAAAAAAGTGAGGTAAACTTGTATATTGAGAGGCACATTAATTTGAGAAGAAAAACCCCTCCACCCACGCAATCTTTCACCTTCACATTGCTGGCCATTTCCCTGATCCTCCGCTACAACCACTAACAAAACCCATATTGGAGCATTTGTGTCTGTCGGAACTCTTTTCTCGTGTGGAATTGTTTGGATGAAAGAGTCCTTACCCATTATTTTTCCTGTTTCTTTCGGTCCAATACCTGATTTTTCTTAGGTTCGATTCTCGCCAAAGGTAAATTTGAACTACATTATTATTAGCTCATTATGAGGTTAGGCTCATCCCCTTCTCTTTAGTGTAGATAATATCTTTGATTAAAAAAAAGTGCCTCAGTAAACCATTCACTAGCAAAAATGAAAGAAAACATATCGAAAACGGTTAAATTTAATGATCATTTTATTCAATACAATATAATTTTAGACACCAAACGTGGTCTGAAAACGTTTAAAAGCAAGGTTTAAACGCGGTTTGTTCGGGAAGAAAGTAGCCTACTTGTAGTTGACGACTAATTCTTGGATCTTGGTTCTTTCTTTCCGCATTGTGTGAGTTTAGAGAGTAAAGTTTCTACTATTGTAGTCCAAAAATCAAGTCTTATGCGTAGCTCCTAATCCATTATCATCATTTCAAAAAAAAAAAAAGGGGGGGGGGGGGGAAGAAAGAGAAAGTCACCTATGCGTGCGTTGATTTTGATATGGTGAGGGGACAAATTTGTAACTTCATGTATGTCAAAGAATTTTGTTATGGCTTAAACTTTGTCTGACATTGAACGCATGCAACAGAAAACCATGAGTATGTCATGTGAAAGGCTTGCGTGTGAAACAATGGGATCCAGACCCAAGCAATTGCTTGGGTAAACAGCATTTCCGCCCATGGAATTTTGCTATGGCTTAAATTTCCGTCCATGGAATTTTGCTATGGCTTAAACTTTAAATCCACTCCAAAATTCCTCATGGCTGGTAGAGCTTTGGCAGCAGCCTTGGCGAGCCAGGCCCAGATTTACTTTGTTACATCAACCACAATTTTATTTATTTATTGACTTTGTGTTGGGCGTGTGCGCTATATGCGTCCGACAGAGAAGGTGGTGCGACAAGAATTTTTATGTGAGGCCAGCCGCAATGGTTGGTTAGGCTCTCAACGGCTAGTTTAACGGCTTTATTATACGTGACGCAATTGCATCGTCTAATTCAGATCTTGACTTTAATCCAACAATTTATATTTTCAACGATAATAAATTAAAAAATTGTAAAAAAAAAAAAAAAAGGTTGGGGGGAAACATTTAAAAAGGAGAAGAAAAATCAGAAAAATAAAAAATTCCGAAGACTCTTTCCAAATATTTTTTTATAAATAGTAAATACCATTTCCTATTCTTTACTTCCCACCACATTTACTCTATGCACTATTCATATCCTTATTTTCTACAGTCCTATTTTGTTTGTGCTTACAAAAATGGCATCGAAGGTGGAGCCAAAACCAGAATGGCATGGTCGACCGCTGAAGATGCTTTCTTGTTCTTTCAAATTTCAAACCTCCAATGTTAAGTGTGTAAGGTCATGTATAACAAATTGTCTCAGAAGAGAGCAGATTTATTTCTTCATTTTACTTAAAATGGATATATCACACACCCTTATCCATGTATGAGCATATGAAATGAGCACAGAAAATATGTAAAGACGGATCTGTGCCTATCCCTTTTGCAAGTTGACTGTAACTATCTACCTATCCCTTTGCAACTGAGTTCGATAGCAATTTGAAAACCCACAAATATGTATGTAAGCTTTTGTAGTGCAATATTCTGTATTGACTTCAACAATTCCATCAAAGTTGCAGCTTATGTGACTTCAACAAGAGTTTGACAGGTAGAGAATATGTTGGAATTGCTTGCTTTCATTCATCAAGGTATACAAGTTTTATAGTACATTATCAACGAGAGTCCTATATGAGGTAAATTACAAAGAGAAGATTCTAAGATAATGACTAATTACACAGCACAATAGACTTTTGTTATCACCCCCCACCCGCCGCAAACTTGGCGTCCTCGGATGTACAAGCTTGGAACGCAGCTGCACATGCCGCACCTTTAGCAAGCCTTTTGTCAACAAAGCCTTTTGTCTATAACTATGCTGCTTATCTCTTTCCAACTGAATTCGATAGCAATTTGAAAACCTACAAATATGAACG